GGACTGATTCAGTGACTGGGATAATTGGGATGGGAGTGTCAGAGACAGTGCGACTGGCACAGGACAGAGCGGAGTTTAGGGCTGTTGTACATAGGGTCGCTATGAGTCGCAAGAGACTCGACGGCACATAACAACAACATTGCTGCTTTAATTTATTCAAAGAACATTCATAATATAAAGTTCACCTGTTTTCTAATATATTTTTATTAATATATGCAAACCATATATATGCATCTCATATACACATAAGTACACATATACATAGTATCATAAATATATGTGATAAATTCTCCTTTTCCAAACTTTTCTAGACTATTATATTCCAACTGGACATTATCATAATTATGAAAATATTTTTGTAAGAAATCTCTAGTTCATTTTTCTTAATAGCTTCTCAGTTTCTTGGATCTTGATGGTTTTTTGGCTTTACTGTATTTTCCTTTAAAAAGTCTCTTTTCAATTAAGCTCACTTCTTGATGGAGAAAGGATGCCTTTATTCTTAGCAGGAAGGAGAAAAGGTTTAGTACAAATTGGTAGCTCTGAGAATAATTTGATTCTTCATAGACTGTCACATGTCTGCAATAACTGGAAAAAAAAGGCTAAGTTATCTTTAAATGGCAATTAAAAAATGTATGCATATATACCCTGAATGCCCTCAAACCTAACAAATATATATATGGTGATGCTTAAAAGAGCACTAAAACTGCATGGAAATGGAAAGTACTTTGTTAGAGATATTTTTGTTTTAAAAAGGAAAAGAAAAATTTATTAACAACCATAACCACCATACAGTGGACACCAATGGAGCCTGGAGCCAGGTCTCTCAACTCCTCACCCAAACTTCCTCCTTCTACTTGAGCACCACCCTTCTTACAACAGCCAAGAGAGACAAAATATACACATAAATAAATCTGAGACATATTTTGAAAAAAAGTATGCTAAATAATCCACCAAATCATTCAAACTAAAACACAAGACTTAATAATTAGCTTTGCACACTTTCAGGGGGTGTAGCAAGAGAAGTTTATCAAGTAATATGATTTATTACTTCACCAAAGAAGACACTCAAATGGCTAACAAATACATGAAGAAATGTTCAAAATCCCTAGCTCTTAGAGAGATACAAATCAAAACAAATATGAGAGATCATCTCACCCCAGTCAGAATAGCAAAACTGAACAGAGCAGCAAACAATAAATGCTGGTGAGGTTGTGGAGAAACTGGAACCCTTATTAAGTGTTGGTGGGAGTTTAAAATGGTGCAACCACTGTGGAAGCCTGTATGGCTCTCTCTCAAAAGGTTGCAAATAGAAATACCATTTGACCTAGCAATTCCATTACTGGGAATATACCCTAAAGAGAACATAACTGCCACCCAGGCAGATATATACACACCCATGCTTATTGTAGCTTTGCTCACAATAGCAAAGAGTTGGATACAACCTAAGTGCCCATCAACAAATGAATGGATAGAGAAGCTGTGGTATATTCACACAATGGAATACCATGCTGCATTGAAAAACAAGGAACTCATGCAATATTATTCAAAATGGATGACCTTGGAGGACATTATGCTGAGTGAAATATCTGTCATAAAAGGACAGTTGCTGCATGGTGCCACTATTGTAGAATGGGACTAACATAAGGGTTGGAGTGAGACTGAGGAAAAAAATGGATAAATTATGTAAAATTATTGAAACAGATGGAGAGAACTGTTTGAAAGCAATGTATGATTGGGTATTACGGTTATGACAGGAGTCCAGAATGAAGGTTGCATAGTGGAGTGCATACTTGGGGCGAGAGCAAGGGGATTCTATGCCAATAAAATAATTTTACTTTCCAAAGAGAAGAGCGAACTGGGGGGAGGGGTGGGCAGGGAGAAAAATGCAACAATGAATGTATGAAAATCCAAAATATCTATAAACGTTCATTAAAATTAACTTTAAAAAATTAAAAAAAAAGTAATCTGATACAGGCCATGGTTTTTGCAATCACTTGTTATGCATCAGAGAGTTGGACAATGACTAGGGAGGACAGAAGGAGAATTGATGCCTTTGAGCTGTGGTGCTGGAGAAGAGTATTGAATGTACCCTGGACTGCCAAGAAAACAAACAGATTCATCCTGGAGAGGGTTAAACCAAGCTACTCCTTGGAGGCAAGGATTCTGGGGCTTCGTCTGATATACTTTGGATATGTTGCAAGGAGGGACAGGTCCTTGGAGAGGGACATCATGCTTGGGAGGGTGGAGGGACGGCACAAGAGGGGAAGACCCTCTATGAGGTGGATTGATTCAGTGGCTGGGGTTATCAGGATGGGTGTGTCAGAGGCAGTGCAATTGGCACAGGATAGAACAGGGTTTAGGGCTGTTGTACATAGGGTCGCTATGAGTCGCAAATGACTCGATGGCACGTAACAACAACAACAATCCGACTTATTTAAAATACTAACTGCATTGAATCAATACTGACTCAAAACCACCCCACTGTCAGGTTTCCAAGGCTGTAAATCTTCATGAGAGGAAACTGCCTGTCTTTCCCTCTCTGAGTGGCTGGTAGATTTAGACTGCTGGAGATATGAGGCGATTTGGTTAGCAAGCATAAAATTCTATGGACTTATGCCACCAGGCTATTAAAATATTAGAAGCCAAGCCTCATTTTAAAATACTGGAACCTAAATCTAATCAAATCTGTACTTGCACATGTTATCAGGAAGGCCTCGTGTCTGGAGAAGGATCATTCCTGTAAAAGTAGAAGGTCATCAAGGTTGTTTTTGTGTATCCCGGAGTCAGAACCCACCCATAGCAGACCCTCCGGCAGGTTTTCAGAGTGTGAGGAGATTGCCCATCTTTTTCCTACAGAGCAGCTAGTGACTTCGAACTACAAGTCTTTGGGAATGCAGTGCAGCTTATTGCAGTTAGACCACCAGAACCAGAACCAGACCCTCAACAAGATGGACAGACACAGCAACAACTACAATGGGCTGAATTAAGCAAAACATTGATTGTGAGGACAGTACAGGATGTACAACAAAACAAAACTCTGTCCAGCTCTACAGCGCCTGATGACAATAAAACAAGACATAGGATTGAGGACATACAGAGGACAGACGATTATATCACAGGGCTGTTTCGGCAAAAGCCATACTATAAAACTTCAGGTTGCCTGGTTTCACAAAAAAACACTCTTGGCATCAGCAGTCAGGAAATCAAAAGACGAACAGCACTGGAAATGTCTGCTGTCAGGGACCTCTCCAAAGTACTGAAGAGCAACACTGTCAGTCTGGAGACAACATGCGCCTGATCCAGGCCATGGTCTTCGCAATTACTTGCTATATGTCAGAGAGCTGTATAATGACTAAGGATGACAGAAGAAGAATTGATGCCTTTGAGTGTGGTGCTGGAGAAGTGTCTTGAACATACCATGGACTGTCAGGAGAACAAACACGTTAGTCCTTGGTGAAACTAAGGTGCTCCTGGAGGCAAGGATTTTGAAGCTCCTTCTCCCATACTTTGGGCAGGTGGCCCGAAAGGGCCAGTCCTTGGAAAAGAATAGCATGCTTGGAAAGATGGAGGGACAGTGAAGGAGAGGAAGATCCGGAAGAAGAGGAGAAGTATGGTAAGGATTGACTCAGTGACTGTAGAAGTGGGATTGAGTCTATTGGAGATGATGAGATTGGCTCAGGATAGGTCAGGCTTCAGAGCTGTTGTACACAGGGTGGCTATGAGTTGCAGGCAACTCGAAGGCAAATAACAACCACCACCCCCAATATATCAACCACTTGCAATGTCTGAGCCTTACCTGGATACTGAGTCAAATACATAATTACTTGCCATCTGGAAAATAAAAGTACTGGTGGGACATTTGATAATATTATGAAATTACCAATTTAAAAAAAATTAATTGCATGATTTCATTTAAAAATATTTACCAATTGGTATGGATTGAATTACACAATCCTTGAAAATATATGGTGAGCCAGTGATGAGGAGCTACTCTGTCAAAACACAGGCATGTGGTTCAAATCCACTATCTGAGGAAGAAAGATAGGCCGTTTCCTGCACATGATTTACAACCTCTGAAAAACAGGCTGGAAGGTCAGCAAGAGTCAGTTCTGACTTGAGGACGCAAAACAACAACAACAAGAACAAGCCCTACTATACCAAGGGCTACCAGCCCATTTGGGAATAGGTTTTCTTTTTTATGTTAATGAGACAGTTCTACATATTTTGAGATATAATAAGGTTAAGAAAACACCAATAAAATACAGATGGGAAGACAGCGGCATGAAATCCACAAAGAACCAAGATACAGAAACTGAAAAGTGAAAAGGACTTTTCCCCAAGAGACCCCAGGAGACAGCCTGCCCCTAAGACTGCACCTTGAACTGAGGCTTCTCGCTTCCCACACTATGAGAAAATAAACTTGTTTGTTAGCACGACATGTTTGTGGTGCTTCTCCTACGGTGATACTAAGTGACCAAGGCACAGATAAAATGATATGATGGGCAGAATTAGATTCAAAATAATCTAGGGTGGCAGGGCGCAGTGACGGAGTGAGATGGAGTGAAGCCGGTTTAGCCATAGTGATGTTAATAACTCAAATGGCATGGTCATTCATCATACTATTTTATCTCTTTTTTAATGCACTTGGCATTTCCATAATAAAAAAATGTTTTAAAAATTAATCCAACAAATAAATATACACTAAACTTTGAGATATTATGATTTACATAATGGACATGGTCCTAAATTCCTCAAAGAATATATCAGTCATTTGCATGACAAAGCTCTGCCACCTACCTGTAAAACAGAAAAAATCCAACCGAAAAATCCAAGACACAAGGACCTATCTATAGAGTTGAAAGGGAGCTCTGGTAGCCTAGTGGGTAAAGGGTTGCACTGCCAACCGAAAGGTAAGTGGTTTGGATCCACCTCCTGCTCCTGCTGAGAATAATGGGCAGTTTCCCTCCTATGCAAATTACAGCCTCTGGAGACTTGCTGAATGCTTAGTGATGAGTCAATTCTGACTCAATAGCAAAAACAACAACAGGGTGATAAGGAGGTGTGATGGTATAGTCTATAGCATATGCAATATTAACCAGAATGCTACATGTCTCCAGTGGTTTGAATCCACCAGTGGTGCTGAAGGACAAAGATGAGTGGCTTCCTTTTAATCTCCTATTAAGATTTTGTATTCACAAAAACCTGATTAAAGGCTGGATGAGTTGAATATATTATTTTTATACACACACACAAACAGAGAGAGAGAGAGAGAGAGTGCACGAGAGCGCGCGTGCGCACATATCCTAATAATTTACCAAGAGGAAAGGACTTATATACTATTTCCTATTATGTTCACTTGTATGAAATTTTAACTCTGACTGATTTAATAAAAATTAAAGGCAAGTCATTTACAGCAACTCTCAGAAATATGTGGCTTCTTGTTTTTGTCATTTAAAAAAATTTCAGTTATATTAAGAGTTTCTTTCAGACAGATTTCAAGTTAAAATATGCCCACAAAGAGGATAACATTAAAATAAGGAAAATTCTGCCTCCCTATCAGAAAGACAAGCAGCAGGCAAAGAAAAGGGCAAACGGCAAGATGCTCAGTGATATGAGGATAAAAACCATGGAGGCCCCAGGAGCTCTAAAGGAAGGTCAGCAGACCCTCAGTGCGACAGACAGTGTCTGAAACACTGGGCTCACACACAGCAGTGATTGAGGATAGTACAGGACTGGACAGTGTGTCATTCCTTTGCCCACAGGAGGGCTCTGAGTTAGACTATATTCTTTAGTACCCATGCCAGATGAAAATCTCAATCATATGAAATAAAGCATGATCTACAGTGGAAGTACAGTGTGCTCTCCTGATCAGCCATTCATTTAGAGTTCTAATACTTTGGCTGTTTCTCTGTAAGGAGGAACACATATAGGATAACGCTGCCACCTTTCTAGATTTTGATTTGACTTCCTAAAACTCTCACATAAGACTTAAGTTATAATTCTTATTATCTTGATTATAAGCCCACAATCTACTAATTCCAACAAATAGTCTATCTGGCTGTAGTTACAATCAACTCCTTTAACTTGTAACTCTTTTATTTTTTAAATTAAATGAGTAAAGATTACTACAGTTTGGGGCAAACTGAGAATTTTACCATGTCTTGTATTTTCCAATTACTACAAGAATCTCATACCTTTTACAGAATTTCTGCGTACTAAGCCAGTAGAGTGAATTCTTGGTCATCAATGACAGGCCCTTCTTTTGCAGGATTCCTTGGAGGCTATGTCCATGGAAACAGGTTATATCATCGTTTTCTTCAGTCCAATTGAACTGAAAACTTGAAGGGCTTTTTTTTTCAACAGCTGGTGTTGAATCAGCTAGTGTGCTAAACTGTTTTTGCAGATTTACTACTATTTCTGGAAATAGGGAAGAAAAAAAAGGAGGGAATAAAATGAAAATTAATGTTAAATCACAAAACATGCGCTAATAATATTTAAAATAAATATGGCAAAATTAACATTTATTCATCCATTATTAAAAATAAACATTTGCTACCTATTTTCTATAAAGACCAAGAGCTCTGATGGAAAGGTCCATAGATGGGCAGCCTCTTCCCAATGTGATTTTTTAAAAATTTATTTTAATTAAAGTTTACAGAGCCTTTGGATTTCCAGTCATTCATTGTTGCACACTTTCCTTCCTGCCCACCACTACTCCCAGTTTGCTTTTCTCTTTGAAAAGTAAAAAACAAAACAAAACAACCCCCCCACACTTTTATTGTTATATAATCCCCCCACCCCGAGTCTACTACACTATGCAGCCTTCGTTTTGGACTCTTGTCATGACAATGATAACTAATCATATATTCCTCCTAAACAGTTCTCTCCCTCATCTGTTTCAATGCAGTATACATTATTTATCCCCTCTTAGTTTCACCCAACCCCGATGTCAGTCTCATTTTACAGCAGTGGCACTATGCAAAATTTGTCCTTTTGTGACTGAGAGATTTCACTCAGCATAATGTCCTCCAGGGTCATCCATTTTGTACATTTCATGAGTTTCTTGTTTCTCAGTGTAGTATTCAATGCAGCGTGGTATTCAACTGTGTGAATATATACCACAGCTTCTCTATCCATTCGTTTGTTGATGGGCACTTGGGTTGTTTCTAGCTCTTTGCTATTGTGAACAAAACCGCAATAAACATGGGTGTGCATATATCTGCTTGCGTGGCAGTTAAGTTTTCTTTAGGGTATACTCTCAGTAGTGGAACTGCTGGGTCAAATGGTATTTCTATTTGCAACTTTTTGAGAAAGCGCCATACATATCTTCCACAGTGGTTACACCATTTTACACTCCCACCAACAGAGAATAAGGGTTCCAGTTTCTCCACAACCTTGCCAGCAACTGTTGTTTGCTATTCTGTTAAACTCAATGGTGGGTCACTCTCAGTTGGAACTGGGGCAATGAGTTTGAGATATTTTTTTAAAATTTATTGTATTAAATATTATAGTAGGTACCAGAAGTATAAATCTCTATCAGGCACAAACTCCATCCTGAAAGAGCTTAGAGTCTAGTGTAAGCAAAGGCAAACTAGTAATTATAATGAAAATGCCTAATGAAAGAATCAGGCAATTCAAGTGGATGACAGAGTTTAGAAGTTTTCTTAGAGAAGGTGATATCTAAGTTGAGCCTTATAAAATGAAAAGACGTTTGCCAAAAAGGCAAAGGTGGAAAAGGTTCTTTGGTACCATAAAATGTATGCTTCCTGCTGGTGTATGAAACATCTAAGAGTGAAGGGTAAAGATCAGCTTAGGAAAGTCTTGTGCACTCATAAGGGATTTGGGTTCTATTTGTTGACAACAGATTTTTGGCAGAAATACCACTATTTTAGGATGGACTGGGGTGAAGCAAAGTAAGATGAAGTGAGAACAATTATGATACTAATTAAATAACACAGGCAAGAGAAAACTAGGCAGAAGCAAAATCGGTATTACCCTCAAAAAGCAATCACTTTGGCAAGTCAAACACTCCAATGACTGTGTCACTCAAAACACTTTTGAACTACCATCTCAGAAATGCTTTCAGAGACACTTCATTTGTTACAGAGACCCTACAAAGTTACTACTATTCATCAATAATAAAAGAGAGATGTCTGCCCTTGTGAAGTATATAGTCTAGAGAAGAACTGCATAATAAATAAGGAAATAAGTAAATGAAATGAAAATATATGTCAATATGTTAACTGCCAACTTAAAACTTTCATTGTTGTGTACTGTCAAGTTGGAACGACTCACACCTGACACTGGAGAGGGTTTTCAGAGGCTGTAAATCCCATCGGGAAGAGACCACCCCTCTTTCTCCCACAGAACAAGTGGTGGATTTGAACCATACGTCTGTAAGGTGGCAGTGCAGCTTCTTATCACTAAGCCGCCAGAGCATTTATAGTCAATGAAAATAATTAAAAGAAGATATAAGTCAATCTAAAGGCAATTTTCCACATAAAGAGTTTCAAAAGTCAGAGAAATAAGATTTTAGAATTTGGTATGAACTTAAGTTCTATTTTGAATGACAGCATGCTACTGAAGTAAACATGTATTTCTCTGGAGATTTCTTGAAGGAGATGATGGTCCATTGAATGTAAATGAGTTCTGGAACATTTGTTGAAGGAGTAAGAAAAATCATGTATCCAAGTATCCATCTTTCAAGGCAAGATGTTTAGCACTCCACCAACTGCTTTGTTACTTGGCATGCATTTACTCATTACTGTTGGTTCAGAAATGACTTACAGCTGATCCACCAGCAGGTTTTCAGAGACTATCAATTGCTCAGGAAGAGATGGCTCATTTTTCTTCCTTGGAGCCGCCCATGGACTCGAAAATGCGAGAGCTGCCCCTTAGGGTTTGCAGTACAATTCCCTATAAACTATGCCACTTGAGCTCCCTTACTTGGCATTAACAGAAAACTTACCTCTTCCCCTTCCCTCTTTTTTTAAAATTAATTTAAATGAAAGTTTACAGAGACAGGGTTTCCAGTCATTTACTGTTTCAATTTTCTTCCTGCCCACCCCCCCCAATTCACTCTTCTTCTTGAAAAGTAAAAGAAAAAAAATCTTTCATTGTTGTGCAATCCCTCCCCCCAAGTTTAGTCCAATGTGCAGCCTTCATTCTAGACTCCTGTCATGACAATACCCAATCATATATCCCATTTAGACAGTTCTCTCCCTCATCAGTTTCAATGCAGTATACATCATTCCTCCCCTCCGTCTCAGTCTTCCCTCAATCCCGATGTTGGTCTCGTTTTACAATAGTGGCCCTGTGCAGCATATGTCCTTTTGTGACTGAGATATTTCACTCAGCATAATGTTCTCCAGGGTCACCCATTTTGTATAAAAACTTACCTCTTTTTTTATATACTACTGACTTGTCAATGGATGAGTGGTACAGTGGCTTTTCACTTTTCCATATATACCTTAAAAACAGGAAACAAGTTGGAGCAGGATGGAGAAGAAAAGAACTTAAATGCACTTGAGAATAGTTTTTCTAAAGTAATATCTGAAATTCCTGACATTTAATCTTATAGCTCTAGCTCAGAATGATTTATTGACATTCTAGAAGTAAAAATAGACCAATGAATTAGATGTCTTTCCCAAATACTACCCAAATGACATAAAATTCTCTCAAATTAAACTAGAGACATGAAAAATTACTTTTTCTCACAATAAAACTCCTTTGCTATTCATTCTGATAAAGTCACCTAAGAAACAACTGTTCTTGCTTTTGCTCCAACTACTTTGGGCATGTCGCCAGGAAGGAACAGTCCTTGGAGAGGGACATTATGCTTGGGACAGTGCAAGAGACGAAGATCCTCAAGGAGATGGACTGACTCAGTGACTGGGGAAATGGGGGTAGGTGTGTCAGAGACAATAAGGTTGGCACAGGATAGAGCAAGGTTCAGAGCTGTTATACCCAGGGTCGCACATAACAACAACAACAACAGAAACAACTCTTTATGTTGAGGACTAAGTTTTTATTCTGATAACTCTTACAAACAGTAATTAGATGAATGTCTCTCTGGTACTAATGGCCTGAAAATCTATCTTTATGAAAACAAGGATGAGAGATCTAGATCCCAGCATGAAATAGGGCTAATGGTCTCAAATGATTCTTGCCTACAGGATTTCAGCCAGGGAGATGCTACTACAATAAAATGGATATCCTGGGCTGATCTGCTATTGTAGGTCACAAAGACTGAGAGTCATCTGGGATTCCTCTAGATTTGATGTGATCAAAGGTCAAAGGTAACCAATATGCTTTATTTTTGGTTCTAGTTTTAAATTCCAACATACATCCAACATTCAATTGTCACTTAACTTTGTTAAGAAGGCACTCTCACTCTGGTACAAACATCTAATAATCACTTACAGACTCATTTCCAATAACTCTTAGCTATTACCCAGCCAACTGAATATAAGGGATTTTTTTTAAAAAATTGTGCCAATTTTTTTAAAAAGTGATCTAAGAGTGTGGAAATTAATAAAAAAACTGTCATTAATATCACATTCAAGTAAAATACTGAAAATTTTAAAAATTGGCTGGAGCAGTACGTCAACAAGAGAACTGCCAAAAAATTAAAGCTGGATTCAGAAGAGGCTATGGAGTAAGGGGTTATCATTACTGATATCAGATGAGATTCTGGCTGAAAGCAGAGAATACCAGAGAAATATTTACTTGTGTTTTACTGACTATACACATGTGTGCATAAAAAAATTACTGAGAACACTGAAAAGAATGAGTCTTAATTTTGCTCATGGAGATCCTGTACATGAATCAAGAAAAAGATGTTTGAACAGAATGGGGGGATAGTACATGGTTTTAAATCAGAAAGGGTGCATGTTAGAGTTATATGCTTGACCACACTTACTCAGTTTGCATGCTGAGCAAAGACTCTAAGAAAGTGGATTATAGGAAGAAGAATGTAGCATCAAAATTGGAGGAAGATTCACCATCAACCTGCAATAGGCAAATGAAACAAATTTGCTTGTGGGAAGTAAAGAGGGCTGGAAGCACTTGCTGAAGAAGATCAAAGATTAAAGCATTTAGTATGGACTATACCTCAACCACAATCATATGAGTAATCATCAGAGAAACTCTGAAGATTGCACTGGAGCGTAGAGAAGCCAAAGCACAAGGAAGAATTCAAGATATTAAAGAGCTGAACATAAGATTCCAAAAGGCTGCTCGGAATGACAAAGCAAAATACTACAAGGAAATGTGCGAGGAACTAGAGTCAGAAAATCAAAAGGGCCGAACTCGCT